GATATAATGCAAAATAAAATATGATTGTTCGATAATTGTTTACAATGAAATTAGGGCGCTGAATGGTTAAGGGAACCTATGATACAAAATTATAATGGTTTTAGAACCATTAAGAGACATACTTTTTTTTTCTCTCAAATAAGATTAACCTCTTAATGATTCAGAGATTGTCTCCTAATAAAACTATTAAGAGATAAACAAACAACCACTCACTCTTACAACAACCAAAATGTTTGGAACGGCGGATGTATGCCTTCAAACTTGTTCACGTTACTCTTCTCGATTTTTTTTTGATTAACCTGGATATCCAACCCGCTATGCGAGCCGACTAATCTCAGGGCGACCACCTGCTTTGCAGATAGCCCGGAGTCACCGCATTTGAACCTCGATGGCTACAAACCGTAGGTCAACAAAGAAGTCAATGGGTAGTTTTGTTGAAGACTGTTCCCACTGGCAAACAAAGACTTGAACCCATCGACGACGATTCTGATCTTAGCGTCCGGATTTATACGCCGGAGGTGCCTCATGCACAAAAGCTGCCGATCATCTTGCACTTCCATGGCGGAGGATTTTGCATCAGCCAACCCGATTGGTTCATGTACTATAATCTCTACACACGTCTTGCCCGTGAAGCCGGAGCCATAGTCGTCAGCACCTACCTCCGTCTTGCACCGGAGCACCGTCTCCCTGCCGCCGTTGATGATGCTTACTATACGCCACCCTTCTCTGGCTTCAAAACTTGGCAAACCGTAAAACCCACCAACCATGGGTGTCATCTAAGGGAAACTTTAAGCGTGTTTTCCTCATTGGAGACAGCTCCGGCGGGAACATAGTACACCAGGTGGCGGAAAAGGTGGCCGGAGAAAACCTCCATTCACGTTGTATATATATATGAACATTTGCCATTTCATTCAAAATTTAAGTGACATTTTCGGTTTCTGGGTAACAAATATAATGTTTATCGTGCTGAAATAAAACTTACAAACATTAAAATGTTGGACTAAATTAATTAAAGTTATGATGTTTAATATCCGATACAAAGAGCAATAAAAAATAAATAAGTCGGTACCATGACACTATTGTGGTATATGATTTTCAATATCGCTTATCGATGAAGTTTGCATACTCGATATGATACCTTCAACTGATTGTAATTGGTTCCAATTAAATTGGTATGATTGATCCACATGTTAGTTTGTTTGATTTGATAAAAAATTGCACCCCTATCTGTTTACGTTATGGGATTCCAGAAGATAAAGAATTTTAAACGAAGTCAACGCGTTTTTTCTTATCCGTTGCAAGTAAAAAAATCAAAAATTTGGTATACAAGTCTCCATTGTTGTTTTTTTATAACTTATTATCTAATTTAAGATAATTATGAAAAATGTCTTTATGAAGATTCAAACGAGAACACTTTCATTTTACGAGAATACGAGAACACACTTATCATATGTGATAATACACGTGAGAAAATCTGTTGGTGTGTAGACGTCGTGTCCTACGACTTAGGTTGCGCCAAAGGTCGTATGCGTTTATGATTTAGTATCATATGTGATTGTCTTGATGGATTATAGTTTCACATCTGATAAACACATGTCAGGGGGCTTAGTGGTGTAAGGGCGTCTTGGCCTGCAATCTAGATCGCACCAAAATTCGTCCACTTCTTTGATTTAGCATCACATTTGAATCATATGTGATAGAATATTAGTATCAAATGTGATTGTCTATAATAAAAGAATGTTCTTGTATTCTCGTAAAATGAAAATGTTCTCGTTTAAACCATTCACACACACACACACACACACACACACACATATATATATATATATATATATATATACACACACACACTATATTATAAAGCATTTGACAAAAATTCTTAAAACAATTTTTTATGCACGAAGTACTGTTTATTGATGCATATTACTTAAAATTTAAGATTACAAGTAAATTGTGCATACGCCAACTTATTAAAACTCCATATTTGAATTCGTGTAATTAACTGCAGATAAACATAATCAAATATTGGATAAACATCTCATTTTAAATATAAAAAATTTAAAATATAATTAAGATAATCATAGAGTTCTAACATAATATTTAGTTATTATCTTTTTAAAATATTATATTATTAAACCTAAATTAAATTCTAATTAAAAAATTTAATTAAGGAAATTACACCAAAACACAAGAACTTTTAAAAAGATTAATTTGATACTGATATCGATATTTTTTTAAAAAAAATTATGATATTTTTAGATTTATATTTTATTCAAAAATAAAAACGTTATCGCTTTCTCAAAAGCACATAAAAACGTATTATATCGACATAAAAAAGGAATAAAATGAAACACTGAAATCAAAATGTGTCTCG